TATGTATGTATGTATGTATGTATGTATGTACGTAAGCATAATAGTTGCATAACCAATCTCATGTCACCTGGTCAACATGCGAATGAAAGACCCCAAAACAATCAATTTGTTTTTTAGTAAACTGATCTTAAGGCCTAACACGAGAAAGAAACAATGTAAAATCTGAAGCATACGTTTAACATTCTCCAATGACCAACCCATAAAATGATAATAAGAGCCCCAACACCCAATCTAGTATGTTTTGATGATAACAAACATGAAACCCTAATTGTATTATAGTAATAATCATTTTACTTAGTGTAATGATTTTTAGGATGATTGATAAAAAAATTAGCAGTTCTACATCAGGTAAGAGATTCATTTATGCCATTTGTATTCCAAATGACAAACTCATTAGGTAGTATGTTTCTTATTGATCAAATATTGGTGATTGAGGTTGATGGATTACTAAGTTCGGTGGACTACGACTATAAAAAGACTATTTCAAATAGTTATTGACATGAACTTAAATATATAGATTGTCATACAAATGATATGGAGTAAATAATATATGCCTACAAATTACTCAAAAAGGCCTAATTTCAAAAATAGTCATCCAAGGCCTAATTATGACTCAATCTTCCAAATTGGACCTAAACCCCTTCTTGATTTCGATATCGATTTGAAGATTTATTACGATTAACAATTGCCTTAAGAAGCATGACAAAACATCATATTGAATGTTGCGACGATTTCAAGTGAAGAAAATATTAAAATGGATATAAATTGTTTATCATAATACTTTTGAATGTAATACGCTTAGAAATTTTATTAAATATTTAAATTGGATAATTTTACAAATGCATGTTGTTGTTTTGAAAAACTATATGGAAACCAATCACCCCTTTTGTCCCCCTTTTGACCGATCAAACGACAATATGGTTTTCCTAGAATCTTTTCAGTTTTGATGGTACTTATTTGGATACTTTGGAGCTTGATGGAATTTGACAATTTGTCTCTCTAGCATTCATATTCAACCCTCCATTTTTAAAATTAAGTTTTTACATTTCGTTACACAACTTAATATTATCATCTCTACATACTTGTTTCAATTCATTCTTGGTGGTATGATTTCTCTCAATATCATTATTGTGTAAGTGTTAGAGAGTATTTTTGTGAGGAGAAATTAATTATCCTCTTATTTTTATTCTTACTTATCTTTCTATCCATATGAAATAACGTCCTAAAATGTTATTAGTTCTATTAAAATGACATTTATCATCATTTTACATAGATAGAAGGATAAATAAGAATAAATTATAAGAGGAAATTTAATTTATCTTTTGTGAGTGATTTGATATCCTATTGCAAAGATTTGAGAGTACTAGATAGGCAAATCTTTTACATGGTTTTAAGAGTTAAGACTATGTTTAATGTCTTCATCGTTTATTATTGGATCAACCACCGACAAAGGAGCTCGTTGGAAAAATAGAGGATATTAGTGAATTAAGATCTTAATGTAAAACTAAGGGGGTGTTTGACTTATCTTTTGAGGGGCCAAAAGTTTTTTTTTGGAAAAGATAGAATGCAAAAGATGTTTGGTAAAATCATTTTAAAAGCTTTTTGATTTTGTATATAAAAAAAGTGATTTTTTGAAAAAATCAGGAAATACTGTCTTTTTGTAACTTTTACGAAAATGACTTTTTAGTCCCCGAAAAAGATAGCCAAACACCCCTTGAATTACTATAAATACTTGAATTATTTTCTTCCCTAAACTTCTTATAGCGCACATTTTACATATTGTTTGTAATCTTGTATTTTTTTATAGAACGTATTGTGCTCTTGGATCTTTTTATTATCAAAATATTTTGTTTATTGCTATAAACATTGTTCAAGGATTGTTCAAGAATCTGTTAAATTTATTTATAACTGACACTAATTAATATCATTTATAACTGACACTAATTAATGCCTCCTGCAAAGTAACTTTAGTTCGATGGACGGGGTTTACAGCCCATGTACTTAGGGACCCCATTAATTCCTTGCAAATAGCCTCTCGTAGGGGAGTTTTCCCTGGAATCCCTTTGGGTTTGATATGCCTTTCGGGATGAATTGAACTCGGGTATGGTGAGGAGGTTTCTGTTGCTCCAATTCCAAAAAAAAAAGAAAAAAGAATCATTTAAATTTCCAAAAACTAAATGGTTATTTTAATAACAAATTTTATTCAAAAGTTAAGCCAAACTAGGTTAAATGAGGCTAGAGGCTGCCTAGAGCCCAGATTTATGATCAAGTATAATATTTGTAATAAACATTAGCCCAAGGAAATAAGCTGTATAATGGCCCAATTGAATCACCGCCTTCTCTATCATTTTGTCTTCTCCTTCAGGTTGTCTAGGCACGAATAATAAACCCTAATTTTTAAACCATAAACCCCTAACAGCAACCTCCGTTTCTTGTTCAAGAATCCGAGGTTCTGTTCTTTCTTCTTCTAACCATTAATCATGATGAAAAGTAAAAAGTTCAAAAACAATAACAGTCAAAATGGTCACAGAAGCAAGCGGACTAAATCCGACAAGCCAGACCCGTTCTTCGACGGTGATTCGAAGCGCCGAAAAAAATTTGTACATGATAATGATGAAGACAGCATTAAGAGCAGTGATTCTGAAGATTATGAAGACAGAGACGTGGCGGCGGCGGTGGAGGATGACGGTGAGGGAAATGAGATGTTTGAAGATGAGAACGCGGTTGAGAAACGGAAGAGATTAGCTGATGCGTTTTTGGAGAAGATGAGGGCTTCGTTGAGAAAAGAGGAGGACGAAGATGATGAGGTGGATGAAAGAGGTGGTAAAGAGGATGGAGACAGGGATTCTCGCGTTGCTCGTATGTTGCAGGCGCAACAACTCGAAGACAGTGGTCGTGTTCGTAAATTGATTGCTTCAAGGTACATACATATTTTCTCTAGAATCCAAACATGAATTTCATGACTCTAATTAGTTCTTCTGATTGAAGATCAGAAAACAATCATAACATCAAACTATAACAATGCGTCGCAATCCACAATCAATTTCAAACTTTAGGTCTAAAATCATTCATCTTTGATTTGATAAAGGGTTCAAAAACCAGGAACAACAGACGGATTTCGGGTTTTAGTGAAGCACAGGCAGTCTGTAACTTCCGTGGTCTTATCAGAAGACGATTCCAAAGGCTTTTCAGCTTCAAAGGATGGATATATTGTCCAGTGGGATGTTGATAGTGGGAAAACAGAAGCATATGCTTGGCCTAGTGAAGAAGTATTGAAGTCACATGGTGCAAAAGATCCACAAGGTCGAGCTAAAAAACGTAGCAAACATGTTCTAGCTCTTGCTGTAAGCTCTGATGGAAGGTATTTAGCAAGTGGAGGCTTTGATCGACATGTTCATCTATGGGATACACGGACAAGAGAGCATATTCAGGTGCTGCTTCCAAACTCCAAAGCTAACTTGCTTCCAAAACGAAGTTGATTTCTTGTGTTGTTTCTCTGTTCTTTCTTTTAAATCTGTGGGTTTTTTCACAGGCTTTTCCAGGGCATAAAGGACCTGTGTCCTGTTTGACATTCAGACAAGGGACTTCAGAGCTGTTTTCTGGTTCATATGATAGAACAATCAAGATATGGAATGCAGAAGACAGATCTTACATAACTACATTATTTGGTCATCAAAGCGATGTTTTAACCATTGATTGCTTAAGAAAAGAACGCCTGCTGACTGTTGCACGTGATCGCACCATGCACTTATGGAAGGTAATGTACTTTGATAATCTGCACAACCTTTTTTTCTTGCATTTAACCTAACAGACATGGTGTTGATATGTGAATACAGGTTCCTGAGGAGTCACAACTAGTGTTTAGGGCTTCTGCATCATCATTGGAGTGCTGTTGTTTTATAAATAATGATGAGTTTTTATCGGGTTCAGATGATGGTAGTATTGAGCATTGGAGTGTATTGAGAAAAAAGCCTCTACATATTGTAAAAAATGCACACCCTTCTTTGATGATTCCAAATAAGCCCGATGATGATGATGATGATTTACCAAATGGTGATAAAGGTAATAATTTTAAAATAAAATCTTGGATTGTTGATTAAAAAAATAATGATTTATGTTTTGTTTTTTTTTTTTTTCTCAGATGATTTGGCTGAAAAGGTTTGCTCATCAGTAAATTCATGGGTTAGTTCAGTAAGTGTATGTAGAGGGAGTGATCTTGCAGCATCAGGAGCTGGTAATGGTGTTCTTCGTCTGTGGGAAATTGAAAGTGATGCCAAAGGTGTTCGCCCACTTTATCAGCTTCCATTGGTAACTTTTTTTAATTATTTTTTTACTTTTAGGTTAGGGTTAAATCTTCATTTATGCGATAACTTTTATACGTTTCACATATTTTCTAATACATGCAATAAAGTGGTTTCTTATACAAAATATTTAATGGGTTAATGGCATTTCATTTTAGGCCAAAAATGTAATATTTTTATGATATTTGATTATTGATGAACATATGTTGTATATAGGTTGGATACGTAAATTCTTTAGCATTTGCGAAATCAGGGAAATTTTTGGTTGCTGGAGTTGGCAAGGTTGATTTCGACCTTTTATCTTTTTAACTTTTTCTTACAAATGATTATGTTAAATATTAATATTTGGTGATGACATTTTATTACACAGGAACCCCGATTGGGTCGATGGGGGTCTCTCCCTGCTGCTCGACATGGTGTTGTGGTACACCAATTGCAACTATCAAAATGACGCTTCTGCCCTTGTTGAGTCTCACCATAGTTGTCAACATTCGGGTTTTTCCTTTTTTTTTTTTTTTTTTTTTTTTTTTTTTTTTTTTTTTTTCTAATTTTGTTGTGCCATATTTTTATTAAATCAATTTTGGTTACGGTTTTGTTCGATATGGATTTGGGTGGATTCTGTAATCCCATAAACGTTACAAAACATACATTTGTATCAAGAATCCATCCCCACCTTACTTGAAATTATTTATTTATTGTGTTCATGTTTACTTGAGGAGCTATCAAAAATACAAAATAGAAAATTGATTATGTTACAAGCGATTGTACATGATAAATACAAAATACATTCAAAACGACTTGTTTCACAATGGAGACTCAAACATGATGTAAACGAATGGGCAATATCATGACACGATGTCAAACACAATCAATCAGATACTAAATAAGATTATGTTGTTGAGTTGATGCTATTGATACAACCTTATTTTGGTGTTGATTACATCCCGGCAAATTGGGCATAACTGAAGATCGATTCCACAGTTGCAACATGTCTGTCAATAAAAGATATTGTGTATGAGAACACTATAAAAGTATTTCAGATGCCAAATCAATAAAATGATGAAAATGCTTTGTGTTTTTCTATATTTTGAGCACTAAAGACTTTGTGTATAAGCAAGCTGACCTGATGCCCACAACCGAATGCCATGTCTTTGGGGTTACTAAGGCACACAGGACACACCTGAAAAGGACCAAAAATTCAACATAAAAACATCATTAAATTTTATAAATATCATCACTTTTATAAATTAATAACTTTCAGTTTGATGTCTACTTACCCTATTGTCATACGACGGATGTACTACTGTCTCATTTACAAGATACTGACGTGTGCTTCGATTCGTGAACTGCAAATTACCACCGCAAGGTGGTGGAAGAGGAACAGTGTTCGGAGAATAACCAGTCCGGGCACTATTCACAAATTGTCAAATTAACAATATAAATATTCAAATTGTCATTTTTGCTTTTTGTGAAAATCGATGCTAACAAATAATTGGAATTACCCGAGTAGATTGAGCTCGAGGGTTGCTTTATATTGTGAAGGTATTTCCATCAACGCAGTTAACGCGAATTCTGTCTGTTTTTTCATGGGATCCACATTTTTCGACATAATGTCTGTAAAATTTACAAACTAGCAAACAAGAAAAACTGGTTACACGCAACGATTAGCGATAAGTCTAAGATAATATAGTTATCTACCTGTATTCAAGTTGTATTCCTAGAAAAAAGCTTTTGTTTCTTATCTTGTATTATATATACTTGTAAATTCGTTATATACCCTTTGAGGTTAATTCAATAGTCTTATAGCAACAATAAAAAGGTATATGCAATCTTTTGTTGACAGTTTTGTTGCAAACCTGCAAATTGTCAAAGGCTCGAGAAGGTATGTTGTCGTCGAATTCCTTCATCATGTCCCATGGACCATCTCCAACCCCTACCAATATTATCGACAATGGGTATTTACTGCAACAAATAAACAAGATATTTCAGGATAATTATTATTTTTATAAAAATCACTCGGCTGGCAATTGATAAGTTTCAGGATGATGAGTTTTACCTTGCTTTTACAATGGCGTCAATGGTGTTCCGTTCCTGTGAACTGAGTTGACCGAACTCGGTATCACCACTTCTTGTTACCTAAAGAAAAACAAAACAGTTTTTAGCGACAGTTTTATGGTTCGTTGCAAAGCATATGACGCGTTACCTGGCCGTCGGCAATAATCAGCAAAACATGGTATTGACCACCACTTGCTTCAACAATTGTCATGGCCATTTCTATTATAGGTGCAAAAGATGTAGGCCCTGAAATGAAAACAGATTTAATGCATTAAAACTTTGTTTTTGTGACAAATATGGTATCGCCGAAAAGGTTGCAAAAAGTGATTTACCAGAAAGTCTGAGTTGAGGAGCGATCTCTCTATATCGTTTCAATACATCCTCAAATCCTTCACAAAAACTCGAATCCGGATAGAAACTGAATACACTTTGATCGTGTGTCGAGGCTAGAAAACACGTTCAAAATAACAAAAACATATTAATTAATCTGATAAATTCTGACAAAACTAATCTAAAAAATATATTGCTTTTGGTTGTAAGAAGAATTATGTACCATCTCCAAACCCGAAGCATGGGATCAAGTTATCCTCGTCAAAAGCGGATAGTGTTTTCCCGATGATTGATATTGCTTGCTCATACGGATTTTGCACCACTCCGATGTTATGCAAGCTTCTTCTGTTGAACGACTTTGTCCCTAATTTTTTATATATTAAAGTATGAGTCAATGACATTATGTCAATCATTTACTACCAAATTAGATTATATTTAACGAAACTAGATGAGATCTATAATCATTTCATGACATCATTAAAACACACTAGACTGGTCAAATTCTCAGCTTTTGCTTTTTTCAGATAACATTTATCGGTTCCTTTGACCGGGTTGACCGGTTTGTTACCTCTTCAGTTCATTTCTACAATTTCTTGGAAAATTGTAATTAAAGACAAAATAATCAACATATGTAGCGTCACAAATGATGAAAATTATCCAAAGAGAAACTTAGCGACACTTCGTCATGAGAATGACTACAACCTTTTTTAAAAAAAAAATTATGTGACTAACCTGTCCACTCATTGCTTTTGGTGAAATCGATGCCAACAATAAGATTCGATGACTCGAGGCCTGCTTGAGCAAGAGCCGAAGTAACCTTGAAAATAACGAATATTTTTATTTTTCTCAGAATTTAACCACAAATCAATGATGATTTCTTGAAATATATAATATTAGTAATTATAATTAAGCTAGTAACCTGTTCAAGCGTCTCGTAGTCATCGGCTATTGTTGAATACTTTCTATCCAACCTTCTTTGAGTCGGTGGTGGCCCGTAACTATAAGGAGCTGGATGAGCATGGTAACGCCTTGGTGTGGAAGTAACACTCGTTGACCATAGATAACCGGAGTCTCTCCTTATTCTTGGTGATGTTTCTCTTGAATTCTTGCCTCCCATTTTTACTGAAAACACTTGCAAATCCTCGAAACTGAAGAGTTTTGAGGGTTTTGATGTGAATATATAGGTGTTTAGGTGTGTATATATGTCTATGTATGTGTATATCAGTTTCTGTATATGAAAGTTCAATTGAAGTTGACTATTGGAATAGTGAAACTGAAAGTTCTAATGAAGAAATTGCCTGGAAACAATGAGCATTATCCTTGTAAGCATAAGGCTTTGACTTCGACTAATGAAAAAGAGTGTTTTGTTAAAATATTTTAATTTAATATCATTAAATAGGTAGGATAAATTAGAGAAACTGAGTTTAAGTTAACAGTCGAAGGACAAAAACCAAACCAAAGGGCCATTGCACAAAAACCAAAGGGCCATTGCACCAAGGAGTTGAAAATACGTCTCTTTCTTAAGGGGTTAAAGGAAGTCTTGTTTAGTTTTTGCAAAGTAAGCCTTTAATAGGTCAGTTTGCACACATTATTATTATTATTATTATTATTATTGTTATTATTATTATTATTGTAAAGTAAGTCTTTGAACTTGTTTTTGTATCCATTTAGCCCAGCGGTATCGGGTGTTGCCCTTCCTCCTTGAGGTCGAGGGTTTAAGTCCCGTGAGGGACATAGGTGGAGAATTAGGAGTAGTGTAGGAGTAGAATAGATTTGCCGTTCAAAAAAAAAAAATTTAGTCTTTAAGATTGGCTACTCAAGGTTAAGTTTTCGGTTTGTACCAAGGTTGTAAAAATCGCTCGATGATAGCTCAACGGTCGATTGATATTAAGGGACTAATCGGTTTTGATGGGGATTAATTGGGGACCATAGATTATTAACAGAATATTATAATTAATCAAATATTAATATATCTTAAGAAAAATAAGTACTTCAAAAATTAGAAAATAAGAAATTTTGTAATTTGAAAATAGAAAATTTGAACATTTTGGTATAATATTTGAAAATTTGAGAATTTTGGAGTAAAAAAGTTGATTTTTTGAATTTTAAAATTTTGACTTTTTTGACTTTTGTTGACCAATTAATTCCGTTAAAACCGATTAATCCAAACCTAATTAATCATAAATTTCCGATTAATACCCTAATCATCGACGATCGGAGAACGTCAAACGATTAATCCACGATAAATCGCTGATCAATCCTGATTTCTGCAACCATGGTTTGTACATATTTAGTTCATGTTATTTTTTTAATTTTATAATTTTTTAATTTTATAGTTTTGTACACATTCAGTTCTTATATACGGTATCTTCAGTTCCTATACGCGAGTCGTCTAGACAGTGGAATCATATATCATTTGTCTTGGTTTGGTTTGGTAGTGGGATCATATAATATACCATTTAATAAATAAGATAAATAATATTACACTTTTAATATCAATACAGAAGATTACAAGTTATTTTAACCATATCAATACAAAATTATTCTTCAAACTCATTCACTTTTTTTCTTTAGACAGGAAACAAACTTTTTAACACATGCAAACTCATTTTCAAAATTTAGGGTTGAATTTAATGTGTTCTTCATTAACATATTGCCAAAATTTTCATTTTTTTACCTGGTTTCTTTAGTAACAAAAAACAAATTTAATCAGGTAAGAAAGAATGTCAATTTAAAAAGAACAAAGAATCAAAGCCAAATATATCTTATTCTTAGAGAAAATAAGGCATCAACATTATTTGATTGATTCATAAATTAGGTTACTAATATAAGTGAGAGATAAGCCACATATGAAAACAACTCATTAATGATCGTCCAACTTAGGATGATATATGAGTAAAACTTAAAGAAACCAGTCATAAGGAATGAATGTGTACAAAAACAACAAATATTATTTTGCAACAATAAAATATTTAGAACTAAATGCCTACAAACTGGGAACTATATTATCTTATTAATTCATTTTTTCCATCTTAACTTGAAGTATTCAATCATAAGGGCTTAGTGTGTTTAAAACCAAGTCCAATGACTTATTTTGCAAAAAAAAAAAAAAGACTAAATGTGTACAAACTGAAAACTATATTACCATATTAAGTCATTTTTTCTTAAAATAATTAAACATTTGTTAGTTATTCTAAAAGATATTGAGTTTAAATTATGTGTTTGTATAATTATTCAAATGGGTAACATGATATGTAATAGGTGTTTTATGGAAGTTTCATCTAGCCATTTAAGCAAACATGTAACACTCTGATGTTCATTTGAGGTACTCCGCTTTTAATTTATTGTTTTAGTTGGAAGTCACAACGTGAGTATGTTGGTTATGTCGTGAAGGTCCATTGACTGGTTGACCCATAAATTCAACTCTCACGATGTAAGACTAGAAGGGCTCACGACGTGAGCTTCACAAAATGTTCAAACCCAAATATTTTAGGTATTTAAGGGAATGAGTGGGCTAGGGTTGCCCCTCACTAGCCTCCTGCATTCCTCTACTTTCTAGAAACCCTAAATCCACCCCCTTAGAGTCCTTAACCATTTTTGAGATCCTTGAAGCATTTTGGTGGTTTTGGTCCTTAGAATTGAAAGAAGATCTTGGTTGTGTGACCTCTTGGCATTTTGGGCTACTACTTTGTAGTCTCTTGGAGCTTTTGGACCATTGTAAGTCTTAAAGCTTGAACTTTTCTACTCTAGGATTCTAGATCTAAGTTATGAGCCCTTTTTTACATGTTGTTTTCGATCACATGCTTAAGATCCATAAAGTTGGCAACTTTATGGATCATTGAACCATTCCACGTAAAATAGTCCTTGGATCTGGGTTTTGGCATACTTTGAGACTCCAAGTATGAGTTTAGATCTCATTTTTCCAAATTTTGACCTAGTAGGAGTTTGGGTTATGCATTGGATATGCATGACTGAAAAAGCCATGGTTGTAGAACTCGCTACTCGGTACCTGTTCGGATGACTACCGAGTAGCGAGTACTCGAGGAGTCCTTAGATTCAGTAATTCTTGTAGAAATATTTTTAGGAAAATTATATGTGTCAAAATAATAAGTTAAAACCATAAGTTGATTGAAATATATAACAAAATTAGATACATGTGAATACACAAAAACTGAGAAACACACAATGGTCCCACTTTGTGAATAATTATTGAAAATTTAAGATATATATATATATATATATATATATATATATATATATATATATATATATATATATGTAGGAATAATCACATGTGTGCGAGTTAAACAATAAATCATTCAGTATTATGCATATTAATCACCGAGTTGATCGAGTTTTACAAAACTACTCGCTTTAATAAGGGGCCGATCGAGGAGTACGCATATTCTATAACTCGCCTCAGTAGGGGCCGAGTAGCGAGTACTCGGATGAGTAATCGGCCAAATATGTGAGTTTTAAAACATTGTGTAAAGCTACAATTTTTATGATCCTTGGGACTAGAAAAGATCTTCTGGAAAGTCCCATGCTATGGCTGAAAGGATTAAGAGCTTAATGCTTAAGGCTAGCCAGAATAGATATCACAACGTGAGGGATAAGCCTATCACGTCATGGGAATTCTAGCTATCGCGACTATCTTGTCCGGATTTGGTTACGACGTGACTTAGGGTATGGTCACGACCTGAAAATGGATTGGATCGCACAGATGAACTGATTTGACTCGCTGTGTTGGGACTGGGTCGATTTGGTACTCATGATGTGACCATGGGCTGGTCACAACGTAAGGTCCCGCTGTAGGAGTTGGATCATTTACTCTGAGCCTAGTCGGGCCATTAGACTTCTGTTTTGGGTTCCCTTGGATTTAAGTCCATGCGGGGGGTTTTTGGCCCACAATAGAAGAGTGGACCATAATTGGGCTTTGACTGGTCATTTATGATCATGACCTTTTGAGTAGTGAATTCGGCCTTAGTCTTGGACCAAGTTAGGTAAAGGGTAAATAGGTATTTTACCCTAGTTGGTTTCTTAGTGTGGGTCGGGATCAAATTATTAAGTGGGTGTTATTTTATGTTGATAGCATGAGAATTGTTATCAAACCAACAACCAATGATTTATTTGTGAGATTCAGCAGTCTGAGGTGAGTCTCCTCACTATATCCATGGGTCGAAGGCACCAATGCCAACCCATTACTTGTTATATGAAATGATACTTGTCTATGTGTTTTCTTGTTTGAAAGATCTCGGGGGTAACCTGTGGCACTTGTATGAAAGTCCATGGGGATAGTCCATTGATATGTGCATAGTTAGTTAATTATTTAGCATATATTCTTAGTTATTTTTAATTAATTATGTGAATAATGTGGACAAAAGGTACTTAAAATGTTGTGAATTGTGTTTTCAGTCCAAAAGATATGCTTGGAAGCAAAAAGGAGAAAAGGGAAGCAATTGAAGATCCAAGAGTGAAAGAAGGGGATATACTCGGCGTGTAGATCGACCCTACTCGGCGAGTACACGAGGATATTCCAGAAGATAAATACGACTGCTGATTCAAGACGGATAAGTATGGATCTACTCGGCGAGTTGATTCTGCTACTCGCCGAGTACACCCTGTTTTGGGATATTTATATAAGACGAATCCTTATCTCAGAAAAAGAACCCTTTGGCGAATTTTGAAGGATTGGCTGCGACTAAGAGATTCAAAAGGCGCTGAAGAACCCTAGGCTTCACTATTTGGAAGAATTCAAGCAATTAGGTTAATTCTACCACTTAGACTTAGGAATTAAACATGTTTGCTTTAGTAAACTTTGTTTCTATGTTTGTTTCTACTACAATTATGAGCTAAATTCGTTTTTGTTTCTGTTTGGGGAATACCAAAGAACTCCTATGGTTTGATTATTGATTAATGATTAATTATCTTTTGGTGATTTATTAAATTAAGTTTGTTAAAGAACCTTATGTATTAATCACTACTATTTTCTGTTAATTGGAAGGCAATTAGGTTGCATGAACATCACTTAATTGTTAACCTCATATGTCTATGTGAATGCTAAACCATATGCTTAGAAGTAATGATTATGAAACTAAGATTAATAAGAAAATAGGAAGATTAATGTGTGAGCTTGTTTGAGAAACCATCAACAAGAGGTTAATTGAATTAATAACTTAATTGACCATTACAAATCTTATTTAATCCAAATAATTAATCTAGGGAATTAATTAGTTTAAACACTTGATCAACGCTTAAATTAGTTAATTGTCTAAGGGTTAGGAGTAATGAATATGAACCTAACTATTATAATTGGTAACCAATAGCAATTAATCTATCTT